GAGGCATGAAAGACTAGAAAAGTAGGTGGGTCTATATCATTAAGACCCCTATAATTCATGTTGAGAGGTTCAAACTTTATCCTGAAGCCACTGGAGAGATTAAGTAAGGAAGCAGGTGCAATAATCCAATAAGAAATGCTTAAGATCTGACCGAAAGCCAGGGGGTCGGAGAAGAGGATATGAACAATTGGATGGGCTGCATACGAGAAAAGGCAGAATCAAGGATGAAAGCGAGGTTCCGACCTGGAAAGCAAGGTGAATGCTGGTTCTATTCACTAAGTCAGAGAGAACAGAGGAGGAGCAGTAGAGACAGAGGACGATTAAAGTTTTGGAGATGGAGGACCTCCAAGAGTGATGTTCAGTGGTGAACAGCAGATGTACAAGTCTTATGCCAAGGTGAGATGTGTGAGCTCGGAGGCTAGAAATACACATTTAAACGTCATCGGCATAATGGTAATTGAAGCCTTAAGAATGGCTGACTCCGCCCCAGGAGTGTGTGCCTAGAGAAAAGCCCTGGAATAACACTGTTTAAGTTTCAAGGGGAAAGAACTGCAGTTTACAAAGGGCACTGAGAAAAAAATCAGAACATTATGAAAGAAATCAAAGAAAATTGCAAGCTAATCTTGGAGGGATTGGCATTTGTCTAAGAAGGGAGGACTTCTCTGGAAAAAGGAATGGTATGTGTAAAGCTGGAGAGGCAAGATAGGACACAGTCATATTTAGGGAATTCTTTGTGTTTCTATTTTGTACTATTCCCTCCTTCATATACCTTTCAGTTCACCCTGAACTGTCCACCCTGAACAGACTGGACTGTTTACTTGGACCCAAATTCAAGTAGCCTCTGATCTCCTTGACTGTTCTCGCACTGTCCTCTCCAACCAGAAAGCCCGTCTCCGCCTTCATCAAATGTACAAGTTCTCCTCACGCCCAGCATGAATACCAAGACCTCCATGATTTTCCACAATTATCTTCTTCCTTCTCCACTTGGGAGTAATTCCCCCCCTTTGGAATTCTCATAGCATTGTATCCGTATCTCTCTTATGGCATTTTAATGAAGCTTCGTAGTTACTCAAGCAAACATTCTTGAGATCAAGAACTTACTTTGTATTAGGACCCATCTGATATAATCCCCAGCACCCAACATGGAGCCTGCACTTAGCGGGCCTTTGATCAATGCAGGGCTTCTCAGAGTGTGGCCTCAGGACCAGCAACATCAGCATTTCTGGGAAATGGTAAGAAATCTAAATTTTCCAGCCCCACCCCAGACCTATTGATTCGGAAACTCTGGAGGGAGGGCCAGGGATCTGTAGTTTAACATGCCTTCAGATGATGCTTAGTGCAGCTTAACGTTTGCGAAGCACTGGGTTAGCTGAAAGTCTCCTTTTTTTTTCTGGAATAGAAATTTGCAACTACAGTTTACATTATGAGCACTTCTCTAGATTCTATCTGAAAACAGAGCTTTCAAGTCAAATGCTCAGTGGATTATTTGAAAACTTATTTTTATGTCCTTCTGTTTCTTAACATATCATCCATGTAAGAAATCTCATATCAGCAAAACAAATGTGAACAACAGAGAAATGGTATCATTGTGCCTTGGGGGATTCTGGTGTCCCTGGCTTTAGCAGTATCTGGGAGTTAAGCTTCAAATGACCAAGATTTGAACTTGCTGATGGCTGAATTGCCTATTCTCCTTTTCTTTCACTTTCTCCTCTGCTCTCCTCCCTCCCTTTCCCTTTCTCCACTTTTCATTTTCACATCTAAAACTGTCTCAGAGCATGCACTTTGGAGAAAAGATGCTATAAAATTCTCAAACATTCACAATAAAAATCAAAGGTTTCCCAGCAAGGTCAGGTGGATTAGCCCAGAAAGCTGAGAACGAGTCGGGAAAACATTCCATTTTGTCCACAGTCTTTTGGCAGCCCGTAACTTCAGAGATAGGATTTCAATCAATGTGGAAAGACATCTTTCCTTGGACTTGAATTCACTCCAAACCATTCCAGGCGTACTTACTGCTAGTGAATTTCAGCATTTACTGCCGGTGTCAGCTTCCTAGGGTGTAGAAAGCTGCTCTGAATTCCTGCCAAGAATTTTCGAGCTTTTGTGTCACCTCAACCCTAGGTGATGATCAGACAAGCTCTGGGCTAGGTGAAGGTGTCACAATGCTCAACAGAGATGCCCCAAACCAGCAGCTGTCCTTAATAGGCAGCCAGTCCTTTGCTTAACATCTGAGCACCTTCTTATCAATTCTAACACTTCTTATTCATGCGAATGCTGTGTGTTTGTGTGTGTGTATAGCACTCACAAGTGAACATATATGTGTGTATCTATCTAGCTATATATAAATAGGTAGATAGGAAAAGAAGACTGAGGAAGGAGAATTCAATAGCACAAAAGGTTTTTTGATGCACCGTAATGAGTGCACAGGTACAAAGGTCAGTTTTGATGCAAATCTCATAGTATCTGTGTATAATACCTGTTCTTTTCATACGTAAAAAAGAGAACATGGGAGCAAATATCCCACCACAGCATACACATACCAGAGCATACACATACACAGTTTCTTCATAAATTCAACCTGTAGTAGACATTTCCTCACATAGTGGGAACAATACACACCAGCATTGCCTTTTTACAATACATAAATACCCATTCCATCACTCCCCAAATCTCTTAAGTGTTTGGAGAAAGGGAAGGATATATAGGCATTCAGGAAATAGATCTTCCAAGTCTTAAATGGAAATAAAGAGATTTTTCTTCCCTATAAATATCTCCGTAGTTTTGGTGATTCTGTTCAAGGAATCATTGAATTCCTGGGGAACTTGTGTTTCAGGAAGTATAGTCAGTATCCCAAGAGATACCAAAAGATGCAATTCTTTAGTTTTCAGAGTCTGCTGTAAATTTGCCATTTCCACCTAGGTTAAGTCTGTTGACAGTCTGGTGGTTTAAAAAGTAAGGGTCCTAAAACTGATGAGAAAGTGAGTTATCATCTCTTTCTCTTCTAAATAGACCATGATTCATCTCTGAAAGATTCTCCTGAGAAATGAGGCTCACATATAGTGTTTGACTTTGCTTTCTGAGTCTTAACGGTTTGGGGCAAGTGTAAGTATAAAAGAGAGATGTCCCATTTTTAATCTCAAAATGGTGACATCCAGAGTATAGTGAAATGTCTTCCACCACAGAAAGGACAAAGAGCGTCCTGTTTTTCTCCACATTTGCAGAATATGAATCTTAAGAGAGAATATTAATCTGTGGAGACCAGGAGAGTGCACTGTGTTTGATTAATTTGATGTGCTCAGCTGGGGCGCCTGCTTTCTTCCCTGACTCTGACTTGCTACTCTGGTTCTATCTAAAAGTATAGCATAGGGCACCATTCCAAGCAACACTGTTAACTTGGTGAGTGAGGCTCATGTACAAATAAGTATGACACATGGCAGCCTTTGGGGAATGGGAGGAAAAGCCCAGACACTTGGATGACACAATCCACATAAGAGGACTGGGAAGCCGGAACTTGTTTTTGTTCTTGACAGTTTACTGAATGTCTAGGCTCAGTAATCAAAAAAACCCACCCTCAGCTACAAACTAGTTTCCTTGAAGTGGGGCACATCTTTCCCTTTCTGCCCCCTTCATCCAATTCCTGATTCTGGGCTCTTTCCCAAGGTCCTGTATCTTCCAAGTTAGGATGGGGAAAGGAGGGAGCCCCTTGGCTCTGCTCTGGGCTGGCAAAAGCTTAGGTGCATAAGAGTTACCAGAGTCCACCAATCATTTTGTGGCACCTCGCTCCATTCTGATCACATCCTAGTGCTCCCTGCACTGGCAATTTCTAGGTCATGTCTGTGTGGTCCCTCTCCAGCCTCTGGGACCAACCAGGCTGACAGTTCTGTTGCAACAGGCTATTTCGATCCAACTTCTCTTTTGGGCTGTACTATTTCTTTAAAACCCAGCTCCCTCAACTGAACTTGGCTTACTGGTTTATTTCCTCCTCTCCTTGTCATCATGTTAAAAATTTCAACCAAAACTTACAAATTCAACAGCTGGAAATCTTCTCAGAATGCCCTTGTGTATAGAAAATCTATAGAAATCAGGGGCACCTGGGTGGCTCAGTGGGTTAAGCGACTGCTTTCAGCTCAGGTCATGATCCTGGAGTCCCGGGATCGAGTCCCACATTGGGCTCCCTGCTTGGCAGGGAGTCTGCTTCTCCCTCTGACCCTCTCCCCTCTCATACTCTCTCTCTCTCTCTCTCTCTCTCTCTAAGTGAATAAATAAAATCTTTAAAAAAAAAATCTATAGAAATCAATAGGCAAAAACTCAACAAGAAATAGTTGAGAAACTTCTTCCTGAGGCATAAAGTAGGTGAGTGAAAGCACTCTGTAAAGGAAAAGAGTTAATAAAAACTGTACTTACTGAGTGCCTCCTCTATGCTAGGCACATAGAATACTAGCCAAGCTTCATGTTTTCATAGATTATTTCATACAATCTTCATCTAAGGTAAGTGGTATGAAAGCCTGTCTCACACACGGGAGAACGGAGACTTAGCAAGCTTCCAGTTACATGTTCAAAGTCACAGAGCTGGGAATTAGCCGAGGTGGGTTTAGAAAAGAGGCCAAACTTACTCCAAAGCAGGGGCTCTTTCTAAAACAGCGCCTCCAAACAGCTTATTTTTAATTCTAAGCCGTGATTCCCAACTGCAGGCTACAGTGCTGGTCCCATGCCCCACCCCCTTGAACCCGCACCCCCCAACCACCACCACCAAAAAAGAACATTTCCTTGCTATCTGGGGGACATTTTTGGTTGTCACACCTGAGTAAGTAGGGCCAGGGATGCTACTACATGTTCCAGTGCTCAGGAGAGCCCCAACCAAATAATTATCTGGTCCAAAATAGCCAATAGTGCTGAAGTCAAGAGACCTTGATTCAAAAGCTGGTGGATTTTAAAAGCCAATTCATCAAACCCAGGTTATTTTGTCTGTAATTCACTCATATGTACATTCTGTCCCATCACAGATGACAGCAGCCTTCTAAATCTAACTCCCTACCCCCTGGTTAGAAGACGGAAGAGAAGGTTCTTTGGGCTGTGTTGTCTGGTGTCAAGCTAGACAACTCCTCCTGGAACCCACCATTGTGAAGACCCGAAAATATCACAGAACCTGAGGACCTCCAGACAGCTGAACCACAATTATTGGTTTTTGACTATGTTTTCTATGCTTCCTTATTACTTTTATTCACCTCCCCCTACCGTTTTAAATGATTTTACATTTGAAAGCAGCTGCTGTCAAGGGAAAAAAAGATTCAAAAAGCAGGCTGTTTTTAAAAGGATTTTTAAAGCTGACATTGCGCATGTCTGCTCCAAACCATACCATGACAGATGCAAGAATTATGGTTTTTAAATTATTTCAAGGTTTTTTTAAATGTATTATACAGAGAAAAATTATTTCATGTATAATAGTATATCTTTAGCTCTTGCTGTTCTCATGTGAACAATTTATCATATATGAGAGTCTTTAAACATAGAAATCTATCTAAAACTGCAAAACTGTGTTCAAAAATCCAATCTATCAATATTATTAGGAATAATATTATAACCAAACATATACCACCTCACCTATTGCTTTGTCTGCACTCATTTACATTCAGTCTTCCATTCTGTCGGAATCCAAGAGCTTCTACATAAAGATATCTTAATTTATAATGCAACAGAAACCATATATGAAACATATTTAAATTTTGTAAATACACAATAATCCTAATATCTTCGTACAATGCATATGGGCAACTAATTTCCTTTCAATCCAATGGTGTCTTTTCAGCTTCTTGGAGAATGAAGTAATCCAGTTAGAAAATGGTGTAGTAACATATACAATTACCCTCAAATGTAAAATTGAATATTATCACATTTTGTTCTAATTGAAATCTGAAGCATGATGTCTGCGCATCAGCATAGTGTTAAATCTTATAGGGCATGCTGGAATTAGCTCAGATCGTAAAAATATTTAACATTTTACGTTAATAAAATCTTTTTAGTTAAGCTAAGCTTGTCTCATTTAGATGACTATGCAGATATGACTTTTCCGATGTGTACTTGGTGTCTTGTCTTATGCTTAGAATCTTGAAAGCAGGACACATTAAGCAATACTATATTTTAGAAAGGAGGAAGCCACATGCTTTGTTTTTCTGCTCACAGCTCTTTTGCGATCTTCCTCACTAAACTTGTAACATGGTACAAATTGTGTTGTATTTTCCCCTGTTCTTCCTTGGCCCGTTACCTAAACAGGATTTCCTATGGGTTGAAAGATCAGGCCTTTGGACTTCTCTTCTTGCTTTTCAAAAATCTAAGGACTCCTCAAGACAGACAAGAGACACAAGTGTCTAATCCAATAAAAGGATGAGCCAGATGCCTATCGGTGGTTTATCCAAGATGCATCTTTAATCCCAACCCTATACTTTCTCAGTACTTATGTGCACAGGCATTTAGATGTCCAATATTTTTGACCCAACAACTAAATACATTAAAGCTGTTAGCTTTAGCGAAGATGAAGATAGGTGTTTATGAACTACTGGAGTAATTATTGTATTAGATTGACCTATATGAAATTGCTGGTATTTGACTGTTTGACCTACAAAAATGGCAATTTCATATGGTTCAACCTAATATCTGATGTTGTGGAGATTATACTTGGAATTCTCTTCTAGCTTTTGTGATCAAAAGCAAAAGGATTAGAGGGTTGGAAAAGATCTCAAAAGGCTATGCGGTCTCTTAGATCATACCAGCTGATTTTTGGCCTTATTCTTGGAGTCCAGAGTTCTGTTCCAATGAACTTGTAATTGACGCATTGAGGCATATAGGTATGCCTAACTTCATATAAAGACGTATCTTTTTGAAAGTTATATGAGAAAATCACAACTTTCTAAATCAAATATTTGTAAAACAGTTGTTGGAATATGCTCTTTAGAGACTCTTAGAATGAATACCCCCTTGCAAAGCAGGTAACCACTCCCAGATTTATCTGGTCTGCAAACCCTGATTTCATAAATCAGGTCTGACTGAAGTTTCTTATCTTTTTTGAATATGGTTCATTTTCGTCCCAGGTGGTCAATTCACTTAAGGTCCATTGTTTTAGAAATTATAAAGCAGCCCAGTTGGGCACGCTCTCAGCTCCCGTCTCTGCCCTCACGCACCTTTACACTATATTGAACCCTTAGCTTCAATCTCATTCCTATTAATTCATGCAAAGGTATTAACCGATAAATCCAACCTTGGTGTTCAGCACGTTCCTCTAAATGCTTGACCTAAATCACTTCTGCTTGGTTAATTTGGGCTCACTCTCGCCTTAGTCTCGGTATGAAAGGAACACTTACCTCCTGTGCCATTGTCCTTTGTACAACTGAAGACTGTTAATAAATTCAGGTCTCACCTCCAGGTCTGGGAGGGCTATGGTAGCTGTTCATGGAGATGGGAATTTGTCTAATTCCCCAGCTAGGCTTTCCATATCTGAGGTAAATAAATTCAGCCACCTTATCTTTTATTCATAGTGCCTGTTTCCCAGACTTTGATTGCTTTTATAGTTCATGTGGACACACTCCAAGATTTATAGATCTTCTTTCACTAGCAGGTTCTAAAACGAATTTCAGCGCTCCAAGTCATGATGACCTGCACTGGCTCATAATGGCAATAGAGAGCTCACCACCTCCCACTGGATACGCCAATGCCTCTCTTTAGGGGCTGACCCCACTCTCCTCTCACCTACCAAAGGACTTTCTCAGGTGTAGTCCATGAGATACAAGTCTACCATCTCGGCCTCCTGCTGGTAATTCGCTTCCAGATTAGCAATAACACTGATCTGATCTCTAGGGGTAAGGAGAAAACACTGAACCCATTCCATTGCATGTCCTCACATGCTGAAACTGGAAAAGGATGTCAACTTTTTCTGGTACACCGTCACCCATTTTACCCCCGCCTAATTTTAATATCCCGTGTTGATTCATCGTTTTCTTTTTTCCAGATTACAGAAGCGATATATGTTCTTTGTGGGAAATCAGGAACATACCACCAAGTATAAAGAAAATAAAAATCACCTGAATCCCACCACAATCCTATTGTTTAAAACCACAACTCCAGGCTTTAAGTCAGTCAGTGGCGGGGCCCAGAGGCACTTGTGGATAAGGTATCTGAGCGAATGCCCACAGGGCCGAGGTATCACTTTAAAATACCTGTCCCCTGATGTCTTGCACGCCTCTAGGAACAGATCGACTGCAAAATTCTGGTTGAGCCATTGTTCAAGGGTACAAAGAAGACTTTAGAAGTAGCACAGCCCTGATGCCTCCTCTCAAGAAAGCTCTTAGGGAAATTCTAAAACCTGCCAGATGGTTTTCTTCTTCGGTGCTCCTATAACGGTTGGCTACTTACTGTAGGGCAATACTGCCACCTACCGGATGCTGAGCTTTAGAATAAGAAGGGAAAATAAATGCACAGAGTGTAAAGGCAGCTCATTTATTTTAGACAGCAAACAATGGGCCAGATTAACAATATCCCGTATAGCACTCAGATTCTGGAAGTCTCAAAGTTGAAAGGATTAAGAATATCATCCAGACTCACTTCCCTTGCCACACGCATATACCTAAGCACTGTCTATCATTTCTTTGTGTTCTAGAACGTCACCAAATGCAAAATGCTCAGCTTTCAGATGACTATAGATAGGATGAGGAAAACCAGTGATGCTATTGGCCTGTAATAAATCATTATAATTAAATATAAAGATCAGAAATAAACCCAAGAACACAGAAGCATTGAGTGCATTATAAAGATGGTGTTTCAAATCTGTGGGAAAAGTTTGGATTACTTAACAACTAGGGATGATTGGTTGGCTAATTATTGGGGGATATACTAGATCTATACCTCATAACTTCCATCAGAATAAATTCTAGGTGAAGTTAAGATTTAGACGTTAAAACACATAAGCACATAAAAGGACCAACAGGCAATATTGACAAATATTTACATAATTTTACTATGAAAAAAAAAAAAAAGGCTAAGCAGGACAACAAAAGAAGAAACCAAAAGGAAAAAGATGGATAGATTTGACCAATTAAAAATACAGAACCCTTATACAGTAAAAAATAACAAACCAAATTGAGAGAAAACAAAATTTGAAATATACGCAACGAAGAGCATAGATCTCTAAATCATATCAAGACCCCATTGCCCTTGGAAAGTTTCTATGATCTACAATCTGCCCAACCAAGTGTTCCCATTTCATTGTTTCCTCATTGCACTTTTAAAATTATCGCTTGTTTGTCTGTTTCTCTTCACCAAGCTGGAAGTTCAAGAAAGCAGCAACTAAGTCTATTTCGCTTACTGTTATATCCTCAATACTTAACACAGTGCTAGACACAAAGCAAATACTGAAAACCTATTTATTGTGTGAGTGGATAATGAATGCATGAATAAGTAACATTTTATGATCAAAAAGAATCAAGCTTTTGAGTAGAAAATTGAGCCAAGGACACAAACTATCAGTGTACCATAAGTTAAAGTAATGAACTAATAATAAATATGAAAATATTTAACTAGTAATCAAAAGTGCAAATTCTTACAATATATTCTTTTTTTACGTATCAGACAAAGGGTATAAAGAACTATAGTTCCCAGGGACAACAAGGAAGTATGGAAATGAACATTTTCTCACAGAGTCAACAAGGGTGTAAATTGATCTGATCTTTCTGGAAAATATTTTGGCAATACATTTTTTGTGTATGCCAAATACTTCCACTTTAGTGAAATTCTCCTCAAAAAAAGCGAGGTACATTCATGCATTATTCAAAAAAATATATTAAAAAAGGATGTTTATAAGAGCATTATTTGGAAGAATGGAAAAAATATAAATAAGCCTACAATAAAGGGTTGATTAAATAGGGTATATCCTTTCAATGGAATACTGCCCACCAATTAAGAGTAAGCACTAGATGTACATTTATTGAAATAAACAGCTATGTTGTTAAATGGAAAAGGAAGTTACAAAGAATATAGTATGTTTCCATTTTAAAAGTATACATATACATGTGTGCATTACAGCATCTGAAAGGATATTTGCTAAAATGTTAATAGCATCTATCTCTGGGAGATGAGATTTGGAGCAACTATATTTTCTTTTTGCATATCTGTAATTTCTGGTTTTTCCACAATGAGCATGTAGTATCTGTATAATTTTTTCAGGGAATAAACAACAATGTTCACGATAGATCTTAAATGAAAAAAAAACATGTTATAAAACAGTATGTATAGTATGACAATATTTGTAAAAAAGAAAATTATATATAAATATTATCTATGTATGTATATATATGCATAAGAAGCTAGAAGGACATACACTAAAATGTTAATAGTAGTTATTTATGGGTAGTGGGATCATGGGTGATTATTTTTTCTTTTTGCTTTTCTGTGTTTTCTAATTTTTCTACAATGAATATGTAACCCTTGTGTAATAAAAACTAATAATAAAAGTTTAAAAAAATGAAAAAGTGAGACGTTGTGACCCCTCTTGCTCTCATGCTCCCCACCAACCCCTGGACTGACTCCTCGTCACTGTGTGGGCAGTGGAGGCCTGGAGAGGAAACACCAGGGCACCATAACCTTGGGAAGACAGGATAGTGAGCCAAAAAAGAGGGGAATGGGGACGGGGGAAAGAAAGGAAGAGAGAAAGAACGAATTAAGTGAAGGTAAGAAGGTAAAGTCAGTAGTGGAAGGATTAAAGCAGACTTTGGAAACATTTTCTCTGACAATAGCAGTGAGTATCAAAATTTAATCAGTTTTCCTGATTAAAAATAAATAAAAATAAAAACAAAAACAAAAAACACTGAGTTAAGTAAATTGGTTTTCTAATCAAAGGAATTCTGTACATGTCTGGAGAGACATCCAGGAATTCTGTTCTGACAGGAAGGTATCCTAAAGTTTTTCAAGGAGACAAACTGTGGCAGTCCGGTTGGTTGTTGAGGGCTGTCCAGTAGAGCTTGGAGCCTGGAGGTACATAGGCTTTTGTCTGAATCTCAGATGTGCCACAACCACGTATTCAACGATGGCTAGCAATTCCCATATCCCTTCTCTCCTTCCTCCCTATAGATACAGAGACCCCATATTTTGGCAAGATGCTGGCCACCTAAATTAAAGACTCCATTCTGCCAGGCTCTCTTGGTTTGATGTGGCTGTGTAAGTGAATTATGTAAGTGAATTTTGGCCAATAGGATACAAGTAGAATTGTGTAATTTCCAAGTAACATCCCTAAAATAAGAGGCATGCATTTCCATGCTCACCCTCCCATCCCACTAAGCTGCAATGAGAACACGTGAGTGGGAGCTGGAACAAGAGGCTTGGACCCACTCATGGACACCACATGAAGACTGCAAAGTGCCTTAGCAGACCTGAATCACCCATCTCTATACTGTTATCTGGTTAATTAGTTAATAACTTCTATTTTATTTAAGGCACTCATAATGAGAATCTTACTTCAGGAGAACCTGCCCACTAAATTAATTAACTTCTATAAGCCTCAGTTTCCTTAGTAAAGTGAGATGATAATGTTATTGTCACAAATAACTATTCACTGTTCACTTACTTGCTTAGATCCAAAGCTCTTTCATGAGAAAAAAAATCCAACAAAGGAAACACTGCATGATACTGAGAGTTGCAGGACAGTGCACAAAGAGGACTCTTTCAAATAAACAGTCTTTTTCAATCAAATGGTCAACTGATTTCCATATGGAAAACATTTAAACTTCACCTTTACCTCATTCCAAGTTGACTACTGATCTACAGATAAAAGGAAAGCAATAAAGCTTCCAGAAGATCATATAGAAAAATATCTCATGCCCACAGAGTGGTGAGATAATCCTTCACAGGACACAAACCACTTCAGAAAACACTCAGACATTACCTACTCCTGCAGATCTGATGTGCATCTTGTGACCCCATACTTTCCTAGGTAGAAACGCAACAGATATACATGTGTACATTCAAAGACAGGTAAAAGAATACCCATGGGGACATTATTTGTAATAACCCAAACCCACTAACAATTCAAAGCTCCATCTATAGGAGAAGAGAAGAGTAAATTGTGTTAGAGCAGCGGAAAAGAAATGAACTCCATTACAGCTATATATAACCAGATGAAAGAACAAAACCATTATACTGTTGAATGAATAAAAACTAGGTGTAAAAAAAAGGAAAATAAAGCACATACTGCCATTAGCAACCAACATTTACAGCAAGTGAGAGAGGGATGTTGTGGCTCAGTTAAACACACCTGGGCATGTACCACAGCGCCTCCTACAGTTCACCCTTGGCACTGCTCAGACCCACTCACATCACATTGATTTACTCCACCCAGGTATAGCTTCTTCTGGATTCTGTTATCTCAGTTCACTATACAAAAAGAGGGACAGTGGGATGAACCATAGCTTCCTCTTCATCCATGCTAGATTCCCTTCATCCTAGCATTTCTGAGCTGCCTGATAAAATGATCCAGACCCTGAACCCCAAGTGGCCTGAGACCCTAGTTATCCCGCCCTTAGTACAATGTAGTTGCTCTCCTTGCCCATTTACAATTAAACCCGGGCATACCAAGACATGACCCGGTGGGTCATATGAGTGCCAAACATACTCCTCTGTGCTCTCATCATGTTGCAATACTCTCCCTGCTATTGATGATCAGAGCCTATAACCTGTCGGTATGGTCACTCTTTTATTTGCCTACGAATTTTCTGGCCTTAGGAACCTGAAGTCACCATGTAGCAGTGGTAGCTTAAAACCTAGTGTGACTCTTCTTTTCTCCCTCTACAACTCAGGACCTCTAGATACACAGATTCTGGACCCCCAGATAGCTCAAATTCTCCAGTGGATCCTAGAGCCACTCCTACTCTTACCCCTTGATTTTTGAACCCATGACTTTAGAACCATACAATGACCACCGACTGATGGAAGGAGTGGACTGCATCCCATAGGGTGCCCTGTCCCAAGGCTATAAGGCATCCTCGCCTTTAAGAGGTTGCGTCACCACCCCACCAGGATAGCAGTTTCTGCTTGGCGGGTATGTGTAGGAACAATGGATCCCACAGTCATGTCTTCACTGATGCTTGACTAAAAAATGGTGCCCTTGGTCTTAGGCAATGTTATAGAGCATCCCATGCTGGTAGACCAGACACAGCGAATCAATGAATACTGGGGCTGCCTGAAGCACCGCTGACAATAACGGCAAACTCCTATCCAGAAAGTAGGTAAATTCCAGTCAGGATGGATGTGGTCTCCACTTGTCACCATCCGGCAGTTTGTTCTCCTGAAGGAATGGTATTATATGGAGTGCAGAGTCAGTCTCTATTGCCAAGAGGAGGGATATTCAAGAACAGCTTTAAATAAACTTTGCTGGAAAAGGCTTGTATTAGTATCTTATTGCTGCTGCTATACCAAATTACCATCAACTTAGCAGCTTAAAATAACACAAATCTATCACTTCCATTTCTGGAGCCCCAAAACCAGTTTTCACTGGTTTCAAGTCAAGAGGTCAGCAAGTCTTCTTCTGGAGGCTGCAGGGGAGAATCTATTTCCTTTTCTTTTCCAGCGTCTAGAGATTTCTGGTACTCCTGGACTCATGGCCCCTTTTTCCATCTTCAAATCAGCAATGAAGTAGCATGGCCTTAATTCCCTCTCTGTAACTCCTCCTTCTATCTTTGTGTATCCTTCCTACTCTGACTCTCCTGCCTTCCTCTTAGAGGGAACTTGTTTTGTTGGGCTCACCCAGATAATCCCAGCTGATTTTCCCATTTGAAGAGTCTTAACACAATCATATCTGCAAACTCCTTCTTGCCAAGTGACATATTTACAGGTTTCAGGGATTTGGGCCCCATTACTCTGCCAGTGCTGTTGGACCCATTTACAACTTCCATCTCTGCCAGGAGCTGCTTGTTGAATGGTCTATCTTTCTCTGCTACTAATAACATGTCTTGCTCTAGAATTCCAAGGGTC